TATTTTAAGAGTAAAAATACTCATTCCATTGGCAAACTTTCTAATTTACCCACTAAAATTAAGGGAAAATACACTTAATTTAGGAAATGTTAACTTATTTCTAGATCATTTTTCCAGTGAATACAGCAAAAATTGACTAATGAGGGAGATTTTTATTTTTTTTTTTTCACTTAAAATGTGTTGGGACCCCTAGCAATGCTCTGTGTCTATCAGCTATGCTAAGCGATCTGCATCATGTTTGCATGTTAAATAAGTTCAGCTAATACCCAGGGGGGGATTTTGTGCTATATACATATAAATACATGCAAACAATAATTGTTTCATAGCTACAAACTGGATTTAGTTTGGTTAAATCGTTAAATCCAGCAGGTCCAGCTGAAATAAGAAGGATCACGCTTCATCACTTCAATCTTTGAGGATAAACGGTTAAAATCAGCAGTGTTGTGTAGACAGATGTTTATTTTATGTCTGTCATGTCAGATCAACCAAATGCTTTTTCTAAACCAACCTGGTATAACTTTGGGATGGCGTGTTTATGCTGTTAGCATTGTTAGCTTTCTTCTTCATATTTTGTCTTCTTGTCTGAGTTTTTTCTACATTAATGGACACTTTGCAGGCTTTTTTTGTTTGTTTTCACTGATGCATATCTTCTTGCTCGGTTAGGTATTTTCTAAAGCTGTGGATTTATTTGCAGGTATTAAAGTAGGGATGTTTAGTTACGATACAGTTTTTTTTTGTAGTAGGAAAAAAAATGGAAACCCACATAGAATGTGCTGCAAAAACTGTCTTAAAATGTCTTATAATAAGTGTATTAACCCTTAATTTGAGTAGGTAAATAATATTATCTGCGTATGGAATAAAATAAGATGATTTAATATTATGTACTTGAAATAAGAGACTGCAGTTATTTTTTCCTTCTTTTAAATGTAAATAGTCTTATTTTATTCGAAAAGTGTCTCACTTTTGCATTTATTTTAGAAAGATTGACTTCGATAGATTTACATTTTTTACTGTGTGTTCATCTAGTTTCACAGTTAGGCACCATATTGTGTTTGTCAAAGAAAGGCTATAATATATATATATATATATATATATATATATATATATATATATATATATATATATATATATATATATATATATATATATATATATATATATATATATATATAGCTTTATATTTAAAAAAAATAGCAAAATAGCAAAATCGAAGCAAAATACTTTGAAGTTTGGATTTGTAACGGGAACAATTATGGAAAATCTCCACGGCGTTTGAAAATCTTCCAGGGCCCTGCGTGGCAGTTTCAATCTATTTTGATTCTTGGTTTTGACGTTTCCTACAGAGACAGACTAAACAGAGATGATTCAGTGCATTCAGGGATGTGAACCTCTTCCTTGACTTTAATTTGCCCATGATTCTGATAAATGACCTGGATTACGTCTTGCCGTACCTTGCAGAAAACCTCTGTGGGGATCTTTCTAACAAGGTGGAGTCATTACAGATGATGCATTGAATACAGATATTTCATTTTCATCCAATTACAGAAACACACGGAAATGTGATTTTAATTTCCCTCCTCACTTCCTGTCGCTCTATTTAGCTGTACATGGAGATTAGAGGGATGTCTTTGGGGATTGCTAAATAATTTGTCCATGTTTTTATCTACCCATGTGTCACTCTTGCAGGTTGTGCCCAGCTGTAATTTGAAGTGTATTTATAGATTGTCTTGTTATTGTTAAGGATGGTGTTCACACTGATCACACCCAGGATGGTCTGCTCTGTTGTTGCTCAGCTCAGCAGTTAAATCGGACTAAACATCCATCTAGATTTAACAGTTTAACATGTGGAGAGAGAATCTATGAAATAAACAAAGAATAAACTAAATAAAATAAGATTAATACCACTATTTTTGTCTTTTTAATGGATGGTTAAGGTACAGAACTGTAGACTGTTACCCTAGCACTGATTAAATGTTAGCTTGTATCAAAAATATCTCCCATTTTTTATGAGATCAACTCAAAGATTTACAACTTTTTCCACATACACAATATAACCATTTCCTTCAAATATTGTTCACAAACCAGCCTAAATCTGTGATAGTGATCAATTCTCCTTTGCTGAGATAATCCATCCCACCTCACAGGTGTTCCATATCAAGATGCTGATTAGAGACCATGATTAGTGCACAGGTGTGCCTTAGACTGCCCACAATAAAAGGCCCCTCTGAAAGGTGCAGTTTTATCACACAGCACAATGCCACAAGATATGAGGGAGCAATTGGCATGCTAACGGCAGGAATGTCAACCAGAGCTGTTGCTCGTTTATTGAATGTTTATTTTTCTACCGTAAGCCATCTCCAAAGGGGTTTCTGAGAATCTGGAAGTAGATCCAACCAGCCTCATAACCGCGTGTAACCACAGCAGCCCAGGTCCTCCACTTCCAGCACGTTCACCTCCAAGATCGTGTGAGACCAGCCACTCAGACGGCTGCTGAAACAATTGGCCTATATAACCAAAGAATTTCTGCTCACACTGTCAGAAACCGTCTCAGAGAAGCTAATCTGCATGCATGGACGAATCCTGGTTTACAATGTTCAGGGTGGATGGCAGACAGCATGTGTGGCGTCGTGTTTGTGAGCGGTTTTCTAATGTCAATGTTATGGATCAAACAGCACATAGTGAAGGTGGGGTTATGGTATGTGCAGGCATCTGTTATGGACCAAGAACACAGGTGCATTTTATTGGTGGAATCGGAATGCACAGAGATACCGTGACAAGATCCTGAGGTCCATTTTTATGCCACACATCCAAGAAAATCCCCTCATGTTGCAGCAGCATAATGCACAGCTCCATGTTGCAAGGATCTGTACACAATTCTTGGAAGCTGAAAACATCCCAGTTCTTGCATTGCCAGCATACTAACTGGACATGTCACCCATTGAGCATGTTTGGGATGCTCTGGATCGGCGAATATGACAGCGTGCACCAGTTCCTGCCAATATGCAGCAACTTCACACAGCCATTGAAGAGGAGTGGAACAACATTACACAGGCCACAACAGAGGATGTGTTGCTCTGCGTGAGGAAAATGGTGGTCACAACAGATACTGACTGGTTTTCAGAGTGGCCTTTTATTGTGGGCAGTCTAAGGCACACCTGTGCACTAATCATGGTGTCTAATCAGCATCTTGATACGGAACACCTGTGAGATGGGATGGATTATCTCAGCAAAGGAGAATAGCTCACCATAACTGATTAAGGCTGGTTTGTCAGCAATATTTGAGGGAAATGGTTATATTGTGTATGGGGAAAAAGTTTTACATTTTTGAGTTCATCTCATAAAAAATTGGAGCAAAACCAAAAGTTTTATATTTTTTAAGTTACATTAAGTTACTTATGAAACAAAAAGAAAAAGTAGTAGGAAGAATTTACCAAATAAGTATATTTACAAGCAAAACTTTCTGGTCAGCAATAAACTAGAACATGTTAAAGTTAATTCTCACCTCAAAAAGATCATCTCTAAACTTATGAGTATCAAATCAACACATGTAAGGAAAATAAACTAATTTAATAATTGAGCGAATTTTGCCCATTTATACCTTAGCAATTTGTTTGTGTAATCCTGACTGTTTTTTTTGAAGACTAAATGTGAAATTGCCTGAAGCATTTAAAAAGAAAACTAGCAACTTATTTGTTTAGAAAACATCAAGGGAACTCAAATTCTGGTTTAGCCATTCTAGTGGAGGCTGTAAGCAGATTGCAAAATGCTAAAACAAGTCTTTAAATACCACTGGACTTACAGGAAATGCTTCTTATTTTTCATATGAAGGCCTGTATAACCAGAAAGGGATTGTAAAAGTTGAGCATTTATTGAAACCTTTGTTTTCTGAAAAACAAAAACACTGTAAGTTCTACAATAATGTCAGATGTAATAACAGATAAGTCTAAAACCTCAGGGTCATTAGGTTTTAGGCTCATCTGTTATTACATCTCACTTTTTTTCTCCAGAAGTTACAGTCCCTGACTCAAGAACTTGGAAAATGTTTGGTAGAAACCAAATTTAGGCAGAAGTCTTAACTTCTTTTCAGCTAGGAAACACATTTTTGTTTCCTAACTTGATCTTTTGTTTTTTGAAAAAAAAAAAAGATTCATTTTTATGCGAATACTCAATTTACTTTTGACTGATTAAGTGACTTTTTCTCTGTTTTCTTTCACGACAATATGTTCTAAAGACAGATTCAAATGGTGGTGAACACTATAACTTAGGACTTTTAAGATCATAAAGCACCTGTTTATGTATAAATCATTTAAGATGTAGAGCTTCATTTTATATTACATATAAATTATCATTGCATTGCAGCTGTAGATGACATTTGGACGCAATAACAACATTTATTTCCTATATTCTAACTATATATTTGGCTTATTAGATGGACTTTTGCTGCTTTAAAACCCCACTCATTTATAGAAATAGGCAACAGATATGTTTTAAATTACTGAGTGGTTAGTAAGGTGTGAAGACACAAAATTAAAAAGGAGTGTGTCAAATGTAAGTTATTCCCTACCGGATTCAATAATTATATTGCAATCTGCAGCTTTCCAGAAATTCTGTGGCTTATAACAAAAATTATTGCACCTAAAGGAAAATTAATCCATTACTATTTCAATCTAATCAAACAAATGAATATAAACTTTTCAAAAGCCGCTTCAACATTTGTGATTTAATTGGTTTTGATGCTTGGTTAAATTCAAATTGGTTTCTCATCTGTCGTTCAAGATTCAAATATTTTGAAATTGTTATTCGTTTTTACAAAGACATAAGACATAATTATAAGTACTAATTTGGATGCATTAGTATCCTTAATACTAGAAATCACTTTGTTTTTCAAATTCTATAACATTTAGGGTTGTTATCTTTTAGGCGTTTGATCTAGATCACTAGTAACTGAAAGAGTGCATTGCTTTATAGCCCTAAAGGGTTTTCTCCTTTCTTCTCTGCAGGCGTCTCAGTGAGTGTTTCCACCTTCAACCTGGTGGCCATCTCCCTGGAGCGCTACAGTGCCATTTGCAACCCGCTCACATCCAGGGCGTGGCAGACGAAATCCCATGCCATCAAGGTCATCACTGCCACCTGGGTGGTGTCCTTTATCCTGATGTTACCCTACCCCATCTCCAGCACCCTGAAGCCCTTCACCCGCCTCAACAACAGCACCGGACACATGTGCAGACTGGTTTGGCCCAATGAAATCATCCAGCAGTCCTGGTGAGATTAAAAAAATAAAATAATAATGGGGAGCTTTATATTTAAAATGCTCTGAGACGTGGTGGCAGGAAGCAGCTAGTCTAAGATGGTGTTTTCCATTGATTTTTTTTTTTCATTCTAGTGAACAAACTGTGAGAAATACACCGGGGAAAATCCAGGAACACAAAAATAACTTTAAATAGAGAGAAAAACACAATCTAAAATACTGCAGATCTGCTTGGTTTATTCGATTAACAACAACACCATAAAAATATAGACGAGCGGATTTTAATGGAAGCATACAGGCAGTTGCCCAGGGTGGTATTAGAAGGGGGTGCACCAATTCTATCTTTTTAAAACTAAATAATTATTTATCAATCCTTTCTACCATTAAAGAGTTTTGTATTGTTGGTATGCTTATGTCAAATAGGCACTCCAGTTTGATGCTAAGAATAGAGTGATCAGTTTTAGCTTTCCTTCAGTCAAACTGAGCTCAAATTAGGAAGTTTGACTAAATGAAGTCTTTCTAAACGGCACTGTAGTGGTGGGTGAGGGCAGCAGAAGGAGAGCCGTACCAAGGGAAACATTCATTAGATTTAAATACCAAGTAGTGAAGCGTTGGCCTCATTAATTGCAGGTCTTCTGTGCGGTGGTTAATGCTTGTTACATTTGGTGGTTATAGGTATGTATCCCTGCTGCTGATTCTCTTCCTGATTCCTGGTATCGTCATGATGACGGCCTACGGACTGATCTCTTTGGAGCTCTACAGGGGAATCAAGTTCGAGCTCTCCAACAGGAGAGCTAGCCGGGGTATGAAAACTAAACCTCACTGCAACAATCATTTAGATACTAGTTGCTTTTATTCAAGAGAAAGACCAATGAAACACAGATACACTGCAGAGATTGCATTGTTTTATTTAGCAATATGCTTCTAACGCATTGCAGCATGTTGATTTTCATTAATTATGCTGCAATCAATGTAGATTAACTAAATAAATAGTTTGTAAAAAAAATCATATATTGGGATTTCTGGATTCATTTTCTAGATTATGTCTCTCACAGTAGATTTCTGACCCCTGCATGATTTCTAAGTGGGAGAACTTGGAAAATAGCAGGGTGTTCTTTCCTCACTGTAATAGCAATTGTAATATGATTTAATGACTTAAATTAATATTATTCTGATTATCAGTAAATAAACAAAAATAATACTGTATTATCAGGAAGATCTTATGTAAATCTAGATAATTTTATTTATGTATTTATTTTTTAACAGTGTCCTGACTGGCGATGTTGCCAAAAAGAGCCCAACAGATTTTACTTTCACATGTGGAGCAGTACGGCCATCGCTATAGTGTTCCGCTTGTTTTATGCATATAAATAGGTTAATTTTAATTATGCAGGTAGTTTTGCAGATTATATGGACACTGCAATGTAGGTAGAACAGGAAAAGAAAAACAGAAAAAAGGAGAAAAGATGAATGAAAGAGGAGATAAAAGGGACACAACGATAAGAGATGTAAAAGGAACAGCACAACCAACGAATATAGTATAAGAGATACAATAAAGTAGCACCTTGATACTATCGCTACAGTATAAGTAGTATTATTTAATCTGACATGTATACTGTGGTAGCTGAAGATAAGAATATGGGCTTTCTGTATGGAAGTGAATCTCTACGTACTTGGAACCAAGCATCTGTAGTTGTTTGTGAAAGTGCAAAAATGTAAATAAATTTAGTAAATTTAGACCCAACAATTGCATAGCTATAGATTAAACCATTGACATTACTGTTTAATTTCTTTTTTCATTTTTGGATGTTTATGAAGAAAATCATTGCTAAATGTGATGAATGCACTCTGAAAATGACCATTTCTCCATATTCTCCTCTATACCAGAACGACAATCCAGCACCGGCAGCATCAAACCAGGAGAGAGCGACGGCTGCTACGTACAGCCGTCTAAAAAGAAGAGTTTAACGCCGAATACGGGCAGCTCTGCTGAGGCGAGCGGCAAGCCGGTGGTGGGGCGGGTGTGCGGCAGCAGCAGCTCTACATCCAACCTGATGGCCAAAAAGCGAGTGATCCGCATGCTCCTGGTCATCGTCTTTCTCTTCTTCCTCTGCTGGACTCCCATCTTTGTGGTCAACGCGTGGCAGGCGTTCGACCGGCGCTCGGCCCACCGCCTGACAGGGGCTCCCATCTCGTTTATCCACCTGCTGTCCTACACCTCGGCCTGTGTCAACCCTATCATCTACTGCTTCATGAACAAGCGCTTCCGCCTGAGCATGCTTGCCACCTTCACCTGCTGTCGTTGCCTCAAGAGGAGGATCTTGAGGAGCAGTATGTCCGGACGGTCCGGCGGGAGCAGGGTGTCTAAAGGAGAGATGGGAAGAACCAGAGTAGAGGGAAAACCTAACGGTCATACTCCTCCAAGTGGAGCCAGCACGCGTTTTACCTACACGGGGATCCGTCCATCAGCCTGGAGTGAGCTGACATGACCTGGACCGCTTTGTACATAGCTAGAAAAACGACCCTGAGTGTAAAGACATGATGTAAGCGTGCTGTGTGTCGTGCTTTGCAGGACTTTCTTTTATTTTTTCGCTTGGTGTGACTTGACATGAGTAGATATGTACATGACTGCTGGAATGCATTGCTCTCACAGCAAATGAACAAAGCCAGATGTTTCCCTGAAACCTTTAAAGTCCAGAATAATGATGATGCTCATTCAGCTTCAGGGAACACACATGTGACATGTGCTCTGATGCAGTCCATGTCCTACTTCTACATATAGGTACATCCATATTTTTGTAGGCATCTTATGCAAAGCTGGAGTCATCACCAGGCTGTTTTAAATTACACATGTGGTCATGAGGGGAGTGGTTAGGGCATGGAGCTAGGAATCCTGAGGTTCTGAGTTCAAGCCCCACTCCCACAGACTGCCACTCTGAACAAAAATGCTTAAAATCCACACTGCTCCCCGGGCGCCGCACAATGGCAGCCCACTGCTCCGCAAAGGGATGGGTTAAATAGAGCTGATTTCATTGCTCCTTACTTGTGACAGTGTAATGATGATAAAAAGCTGGAAAAAAAGGGGAAGATAGAAATATTCTGTAAAAATCACTTTAAAGTTAAGTCCAAAAGCAAAAAAAAAAAATATGTTGATGACACTTTCCTTCATTAAAAAAAGACAAATTATATTCAAAACAGACGCTGTTAAAGCATTTTACTTTATATCTGAGTGCTAGAGAATTAAGATTCTTTCTGCATGGAGTTTGCATGTTCTCCCTGAGCAAGCGTGGGTTCTCACCGGGTACTCCGGCTTCCTCCCACAGTCCAAAAACATGACTGTGAGGTTAATTGACTTGTCTAAATTGTCCTTAGGTGTGAGTGTGTGTGTGAATGGTTGTTTGTAGTGTTGCGCCAATGCCATTTTTTGGCCCCGATACCGATACCCGATACCTGGCTGTGCAGTATCGGCCGATACCGATACCATAATAATTGCCATCATGGCTTTGTCAAGCTGCTGCCTACCTTTGTGAAACAGGAAAAAATCTAATACAAAGTGAATCCAGTAGAACTTTTTAATAAAAAGTTCTACTGGATAATAAAAAGAAAAAGGTTTTCTTGCCTACCAGGAGTGGGTGACAATAGTTGAATAAACTTATGGCTCTCAAAATGGTATCTGTGCCCTATTTGTTGGTACTCACCGATACCGATACCATCATTTTAGGCCAGTATTAGGGCCCCGTCCGATACTGGTATCGGTATCGGTGCAACACTAGTTGTTTGTCCTGTTTGTCTCTGCGATGGACTGGCGACCTGTCCAGGGTGTACCCCACCTTTCGCTCATTGACTGCTGGAGATAGGCACCAGCACCCCTTGGGGACAAGTGTGTCGGATGGATGGATGGATGATAAAGTTGCCCCTTTTAAACAAACCCACTCTACTTATGTGTGCATTCCTTTTGTACTCTAAGGCAAGGGTGTAACTTTGTGATGAAAGCTGGTGGGGACGCTCTAACGGTGGGGGCTAATGGACCTACAACTACTACACACCAACACTTTTAATAGGGTCTGTATTTTCCAAAATTGAGCTCAAACGTATATTTACTGAATGCTTTCCTATTGTTGAGAACACAAGAGAACCAAAGTATACTGATATGTGGTTAGACATTAATGCCTCTCTAGTATGTAAACAATTTCAGTTTCATTTATCCATCCATCAATCCATCCAGAAAAATGGGAATAGATTGATGGATGTTTGGATGGATGTGATTATCTTTCTTTAAAAGCAGCAAACTCTAATTTAGAAATCGTCCCTCATATTGCCGAGAGCCAAAGTCTACACAGCAAAAATGATCTCAAAATGAGTAAAAATGTCTTAAATTAAGGGTATTTACCCTTAATTTGAGCAGGTAAATAAGGTGATTTGCCAATGGAATTAGTATTTTTACTTTTAAAATACGGTTTCTAGATAAAATGCACTTGAAATAAGTCGATGCAATTGTTTTTTCTTATTTTAAGTGTAAATTGTCTTGTTCCATTGGCAAATTGTCTCACTTAAATCCTTAATTCAAGAAAAAATGTGCTTATTTTAAGAAGAAATTACTTATTTAGATTTCATTTTTTGTAGTGTATGTATTGAAATTATTAAAGGAGACATGTCCCCACCATTCCTTCAGAAAGTCACGCCTATCCTCTAAGGTTTGTAGTTGTATAAAAACAAGACAGAAATATGTTGTTCTTGGCTTGTATTCAGGAAAAATGGCGCCAAAAGTTTTCTAACTCGCCCTTGCGACATGTAGAGGTCACGCACTTTTTCATCTCTGAGCTTTAACTTTAGAGAGTTGGCTTTTATTTCACTCAATGGCAAATAAACTTTTACATTTGTCTCTGCTTTAAAGATGAATGGTTTAAAGGAAATGGTCAGTGGTGTGACAGCGAAAAATATCCATCAGTTGTTTTGGCAGAATCTAAGAGTCATTTTTATTTTTTATGTCAGCATTATTGTCCTATTTAGTACTTTTAAGCTGTTTGACATTCTTTTCTATCTTTCCTTGTATGATTGCGTTTTGAAATGTTGAAATGAATTTTGTTTGATAGCTCTAAATGTGGATAAAAATGAAGGAAAGTTTTGTTAAATATCAAATCTTTGCATATCTGTTATATATGTGTCGCATCTGATACGTCATTGGATTAAATTTTAATATACACTTCAAATCAGTGGGGTGGGGTTCACAGTTTTCTGCTGAGTCATGACAGATAATGTTACTTTTTAATAATCTCATTTTGCTTATTTCTCATTATTTCCCCAATGATTTTTCTAGGCTTTATGAATCCCCCCTAATTAGCTAAATAGATATTAGATAAATCAACAAATTAGGGAAACTGAAGTCCAGCATTCAGTTGTTACAGTCTAAGTAAATAAATCTGATGATAATAAGAGATCATGTGATGTTTTCACTGGAAGGCTGCTGGAACCTTTAGTGGTTGTGCTGATTTTATCTGTGCAGGTTTACATGGCGTGGGAAAGCTGAGGCACTTTTTGACAAGTCCAAAACAGTTTAGGCTGCTTTACGCTTTGATCAAATTAAACAAAAGTAAATCTGTAGGAAGGGAACGTTGGAGAAGTTTATTTTCTTTTAATAGAATTGAATAAAATGTTCAACCATATACCCCCAAAAAATGTAAAAAGAGTTGCAGGAATTAAGATTTTCAGGCTCCAATGTTTAATTTTCAGCAACATTTAATCAAGTTAGACATGTTGGCTTAGATAACCCATTTCGGTGCCTCTAAAATTAATTATGTATTGTTTTTTTTCTTCTACCCCAATTGACATAGCAACAAAACTAATCTGGCTAAATGTTCCATCAAATGTGTTTTTCTTTTCAAAATAAAGGTTAATTTAAAATCAGCAAATAAATGTATCGTATTTGATGTCGTGGCAATTAGGTGATGTTTCTTTAGATTCTACCTGTTCCAACTGCCTTTGCATTTCTCAGCTTCTACATAAAGCATCCATCTCACTATAATACATAATCACAAGCAGTGGCTTCAAACTGAAATAACCTGCTGTGCAAATAACAGATATCCTTGAAACACTTTACGCATGTTTACCAAAGGGACTGGGGAACTGGAGAGGCCTTATCAACATGTGGGATTTGGAACACCTGCAGCCCGTCTCCCCCTTTCCCCCTTATATTTCCACACATTTTTACTGTTAAATATAGCAGCATCGATGTAGCAACATGTTTACCTTTTTCATGCAAGTTTGTGAAAAAAAACAAATCCGATGTTTGTCTGTGAACTCTGCCAGTTATGGTGTAAACCTTTGGCTGTTAGAAGGATTTTCTTTTGTGTTCAGGCATTCAGATAAACGACTGTAAAAACAAAATCATGGCTTTTTAACAGATTTGTAAAAAAGCATTTAATTACGCCTGCTTGGGAAGTATGAAACCGTACAGTGAGGATTATTTTTCATTGACACAGCCAACTTTTATGTACCTTACATGACTTTTATGTAACATATTAAAAATGTGCATATCTTTAAAGTGGAAGGAAAACAAACACGTTTGATCAAAACGTCCAATAAAAATCTAAAAAATGTGGCGTCTACTTGGATTCAGTTTCTCTGAGCAAACACTTAGAATCGCCTTTTGCTCTTTAAGGTTGTTTCTCTAGCAGGATTGCAGAACTCTGAGATTCTTACTTTGATTTATTGCTGCACTTTGGGCCGCTCTAACACTTGAATATACTTTGTTGTATTTCTGCCTGTAGTTTTAAGAGTTGTTGTTCTGTTGGATAAGAATTTTGGCTCTTTTGGCATTTGTAGCACTGGAGAAATAAAAATAGCAATAAAAGTTGAGTTTATCTCAGAATGATAAAGTAATTCATGATGCTGATGAAGCCAAAAACAGATGATTGTGGGGAAATTACTACTTTATCTTTATAATAAACATTGTCTATGCCCATCAAAGTTGTTATATTAGTAAAACGATCCAGTTTAGTTGTACAGTTGTTGAACTGAATGTGTGTTGTGTGTCCAAAAAGCCTATTTAAATAGGCTTGATTTTTATAAATAAATATTTGGTGGTAAGCATTCCCCCAAACCTTGTAATAATTATTAATGCAGAATTTTCCACTAGTCTCTACTGCCAGGAAGTCCTTAACATCCTTTAATAAGTTTTGTCCTGCAGTGACTTTAGCTCTGGTTAGGTAAAAGCAATCACACATCATGATACTACCACCACCATGCATTAGAGTTTTGGAATATCACAGTGAAGAAAATTTACTCGTTACATCGACTCAATAGTCAAAGAATGAGCCAAAGACATAAGTGCGTCCACTTATGTTATTTATGTTTATATATATATATTTATTTATTTATAAACTCCTGATCAAAATCTTGAGACCAGTCAAAAAATTGCAAGAATTTGTATTTTGCACTATTGGATCTAAAGAAGGCTCTAAGTAGAGCTTCACAATGTTAAAGGAAGAAATCTGCATAAGAGACAAAAACTTTTGAGCGGGGAATTAATTAAAAACTGCATTTACACTGAAACATGATTTTTTTTTTAAGCTGATCAAAAGTTTAAGACCAAAGCTTTAAAAAAAAAAAAAAAAAAAAAAAAACCAACAGAATTCAAAGTGTCAAAAAAGGACTAAGTAATGAGTAGCTCCACCATTCCTGTTGACTTCAAACTATCGTTTAGGCATGCTTGATGCCAGTGTTTCCAGGAGGCTAGTGGGAACGTTGCTCCAAGTGTTGAAGATGGCTTCACGAAGGGCATCCACTGTCTGGAACCAGGGGCGGATCTAGAAAAATATTTATGGGGTGGCAAGAGGGGGGCAGGAATTTTTTAGGGGTGGCAACATATGGCATTTGTTTACACTGAATTTAATCACAGTTTGGTGAAAATAGTATGTACCGGTACAGTACTAGT